AAATTGGATCACTCTCATTTATACCAACATTTTCTCCATATTTTTATCACAATCCGTAAATTGTAGTTGTCTGTTTATTACCTTCTCATTACATATAGTTTTTTTTAAATAAATCATAATCCTAATTAATTAATTATTTATTTATTGATAATTTAATGAATGAAAATAATAAAAAATTTCATTTTAAAGTTTGAATAGACAACACTTTTTTTTTTGAAAGATTAAAAACAAAAGAAAAAAAAACAAATTAAATCTCATTAATATATTTTATAGGAATATAAATAGCAGAGGCTTTTGTTTTTTGAGTTATTATAAAAATTTTTAATTTGCAAAATATTTTGGTAAACATCGGCAAAATAATGTACACATTAGTGTACATCAATCTATTTTGATGCACTAATTATAAGTTTCGAAAATTTTATCAAAGATTCCACAAATTATTCGAAATTTAAAATGGTGTCATTAATTGTGGTATCAGTTAATATCAACTCATTTCTCAATTAATCCAATCTAAGCTTATTAGCTTTTTATGATATTTTGAATGATAATTGTTAGTGATATATTTAGTAAATTTCTCTTTCTTATACTGAAAAGAGAAATTTATGTAATCATTTATCATAATATCAAATAAAATGTGTCAACAATAATGTGAACTTTAAATATTATTTATCAACATTTGAACATAATATTTTGTATCAATATTTTCAACAACAATAATAACAGCAAAAAAATGAATTTATTATTTATTTAGCAAACTTCTGTGTGTGTGTATGTGTGTGTATATGTATGTATGTGTTGTATGTGTGTGTTGCTTATGTGTATGTGTATGTGTATGTGTTGTGTGTGTACCTGTGTGTGTGTGTGTGTGTGTGTGTGTGTGTGTGTGTGTGTGTGTGTGTGGTGTGTGTGTGTACGTTTTTCCTTCAGATGTTTTCCCTTCACGAGTTTTTCTCAGTCATTCCACTTTTTCTTCACATCCATTATCTTCATTTTCCATCGGGCACTTCTTTGTGGCACGCATTTATCGGTGGTCTGAAATGAAATCAACGAGCACGACAGAAAATTCTTTTCCGGTTGTTGCGGTTACCATTTATACATTTCCATCAAAATTTCATTCACATAATGTAAAACATTCGTACCGGTCGGTCACCACTCACAGTTTTTATTCTGATAAATCTGATAATGAAAGAAAAAGGAAAATAGGAAGGAGAATGGAGGGCATTTTAGTTTTCTCATTTTTAACAGGAATGAATGGATACATGAAATGTTTCATGAATTTATTTCATTCAAATATATTTTTTGCAGATATTACTTACAATAGTGGATGATTACACATTAGGTTTGTTGGCTGGATGATATCATAAGCCTTAGTGCTAAAGAGGTAAGGAAGGATAGCAGGAAATGTTGGATGAGCGGATGATCCGTATACAGATGTGTTGGGAATATAATTATATTTGTAATATTACGGTGAATATTACAGTGAAGCAAGCATTTAGTTTTCATTAACTATTAACTGACAAACGGAATCAAATTCAATGATTTTAATGAGCAACTAATAGTTTACAAAATTATATTTACAAAAACTTTCTTAGCATTGTTGAATATATTCAACTGATTTAATAAAACATGTGAAAATGAGAAAGTTTGTAATAATTTCTCATCAATCATTCAGAAAGGGAAAATGACAAACGCTCATTTTGCTCATTTCTAGCGATCATTAGCCATTATCACGTTTAAAATCGTTCATGTAACAGATTGTACAATGACGAAGCTGTTTATTTCTAATTCGTCACACGTTTAAATTTCATTTACGCATTCTGTTGTTCAACGATAACAGAGGAATGTTATAATCTTCGGCTTATATTTGCAAACTTTTCACCCATCATTACTTTACAAATTTGATTCATTGTTAAAATTCTTTTTTTCAGAATGAAATTTGAAAGATTTGAAAAGTGACGTAGATAGAATACCTTTCCGACTGGCTTATTTACTCACTCCCCTATTTGTCTTCCGTCTCCCTTCCACTTCTACATCATTATCATGTTGGCATCAATCAGGATACGTCATCATTCATAGCCCTCTCTCATTTCGATCTTTCCTTTGTGGTCTAATCATAATGATAGTTGGCTTTTTTTTTCCTCGCTGATAATTTCAAATATAATTTGTTTCAGTTAAAAGATTCGAAAATTTTGGTAAATTGAAAATTAAAAAGAAAAGGAAAAGGAAAAGGAAAAGTGAGAAATAATTTTCAGGTAAGACTTTATAATCGATGACGGAATGACGATGATTGCTCGAAACAGTTTCAATGCACATTTAATTTCCTAAAATCTTGTTTTCCATCATCATCCGGCCATAAAAACAAAATGGAGCTGCTAAAAACGCTTGAAGATCCAACATTGCGTATTGTGCATAAGGCAGCCAGTCAAATGGTGAACTCTTTATATTTTATTACCAAAATTTTCCGAACTATTTCATAAATAACAATATGTTTCGATTTTTGTTGTTATAACACTTCTCTTATCATTTCTTTCACTTGAATATAATTATTAGTTTTTTTTTTTTTTTAAATTAAATTTCATTCATTTAAATTTTTTAGTTTAATATCGAATTCAATTTCTGAAATTTCATTAAAAGTATTGAATTTTATTACCAATCACTTTTATACAATTTCATGGATTATCAAAAATTTCAAATTAATCTCATCACACTTTTATTAATGTGACTGCTATGGGAAAATGAATTTAATTATAATCAATCTCAAATAATTTATATATTCTCATCCTCTTAAAAGATGTGATATTTTTTGGTAGTGCTTTCTCATCGATGTATATTTTTACCTTTTACATTGATTGTTTAAAAGTTTCCACTTCTGGAATTTTTGTATGATTTGAATGGAAAAAATATATTGAAATATTTTTAGAGTTCTGAAACCGATGAAGACATCTTGTTAGAGGAAGGGCAATCACGGATGAAACGCTATAAAGCATATACAGTGATGCAGAAATCTGGATTTCAGCATACCGAGTAAATTTCTATATTTCAAATTTTTTGAATAAATTAAAATCATATTTTGCAATTTGGCAAAAAAAAATGATGAAAGTTTAAAAATAAAAATCAAAAATAGAGGAAAATTTCTTCAAATAGGTTATTCCAAAAATTTCCGGTTATTTCATTTCAATTTCTTGTCGATTATTTCCAGTCTCACTATCATCAATACCGGGTTTATTCGCAAAAAAAAAAAGTTCTGTTGAACAGAATAGTGCGGAAATCTAACAAAGGTCCTTTTTGTGAAGTACTATCGTTGATAATTGCCAATTCTATTTATCAAATATATATATTACAAGAAAAAATTTATTTCGGTCATCGTATTAAAATAAAATGTGCTATTAACTATCAAATTTCCAAATTTATATGCTCAAAAAGTTTGTTTGAAACAAAATTATCTATTATAGTTAAAGTTGTTATCACAGAGTAAACCGGATCAAGAACTGCTTTATCTAGAACTAGACAAGTATGTAATCCGTATGAAGCGTTCGTTAGCAATAGTGGTGGGAAAGAAGCAACCCCTGAAATGTTTAATGAAATTTAAAAACCTGTAATTTAAATTTTAGTTACTTGTCAGTAATGATTAATCTGTGTCGCGTTGAAATAGCTGTATCATTGGGATTCCTGATCCATGGTTTTACATGTCCAGGTTTCGCTCAAGAATCGGCTTATCAGGGAACATGCCATATGAATGTGGTAGCTGCAGTTGTTGGCGCCACCACTGGGTGCATAGGACTTGGAGTTGTACATAGGTAAAATATTTACTTTTGAGCTGATTTCGGGATTTTCTTCGACACTTATCCACTACTTTAGAGACTATGAGAGGGGGATTACCGGAAATATGCACATATCTATCCATGGAATATGAAAATTTGAAAACTGAAGCTAAAATTTCCGACGAATTCCAGGTATCGGTGGAAAATGATGCTTATCATGTGGCTTGTACTATGCATTATATCAGCTGTGGGGAACTTGTTATCAGTGATAACAACAGGCATTTGGCTTGATCACCTTAGCAAAATGAAAAGCCGCACCGGTCTTGTCAATGGGCTGAGTGGAATGATGCTTTTATGTTCTGTTGCAATCGGTCAGCATTGCATCTAATTCGTACTATGCATGATTTGTTTTTTTTGAATTTCATATTTAGTAGGAAGTTACCAAACTGCGAAGAAATTGTAAATTGACCAGCCAAATACAACCATGTGAAGAAGGCTGACAATATCAACAGTCAGATCGTCCTGTACGACTTTTCACTCATTAAGATTTATGGAAATGCCTAGTTTTAGTTAATTAACACGTACTACTATCATCATAATTTCTTTCAACCCTAGGTAACATTTTTCACCGCTCTTTAACATTATCATACCGCGGTTATTTTCTTCCTGTGATGTAGTGCATTACGTGAAAATGCGGTTTATAATCGAAACAAATCCCTTTAATCTCTAACGATTCTTTTTAGGTGTTTGCTTTATTCTCAATGCAGTAATGATATGTCACTTTTGGAACTTTAATTCGCAAAAATATCAGGCTGTTGGGAAATTTTCGGTAATATTTTAGCATTTGTCAAATAATTATAAGTGTTGAATGATAGAACCATATGCTTGTACTTGAATCTTAATTTTTGGAAAACAACTTTTTCTTTGCGTAAATTACAGTATTTTAGAAGCGCCCACGATCACTTATACGTCGTACCTCACGTACAAGCAGTGGTACAGAAAGAAAAGCACGTTCAGAAAAATTTGTAAAAGGACATCACGTTGTTTGATCTCAATTTTTATAACTTGAATGATTCTACCGCTAGTTCAGTTTGTTGAACAGTGTGTTCAATAATGCGCATAAAGCAGTTTGTGTGCATTATTCAAAGACAAAATTAAACATTTTTTGCTTCTAAGTTTCCTAAAAGTTTTCCGAAGACCCGAATAATCACAATATTTTTTTCGAAGCACGCATGTATGTTATAAATTTTCGAAATTACGTTTCGCATCCACATAAATCGATGTATTTTGGAATATGTAACCACTCTTGGCAAGGGATCTCGTAATCTGACACATATTTCTTACGTCATCTATTCCACTGTGTAATCGACCCTACAAAATGAGTTTTTTTCTTTATGTAGAAATATGATGCGACGAAGACAATTAGTCATCTCTTATAGGAAGAAAATAGGACTACAAGATTACTTTTGAAAGGTAATATATATATATATATATGGTTCAACTCTTAAAAAAAGAAATAATCAAAAGATTAGATTTGCATGTAACTTGATGTATGAAAAAATTTTGAAAATAAGTTAAAGTAATAGAGCAACAAAATTTAGTAAACATACCTCATGATTTAGTTCCAGGTCACGAAGCATCACTGTTAGAGATTTGGCGAAATAACCTTTCCATTTGCAAAAGGCTTTTTTCAAATTGATCCATTTTTTGAAGTAACTAAAATTCGATCGAAACATACAAGAAGATAAAAAATCTTACAACTGCAGAAAGAAAATTGACACTTCCTTGTAAAAGCTTAATCAACAGATGCATTGCGGTCAACCAATTAGTATCGTAAGACAATTGATGTTAGCTCATACATAGTCATAACCGGTGTGTAATCGCGACACCATCAACAAATACACTGAACTGAACGACCACATTGGAATAACTTCATTTTAAAAATAGTAGCAGTTTGGACCAACAAATCATTAAAAAGCTTGCTCTGGTAGCTCCAAATTTCGATAATTAGCTTCGCTAGGAAGCAATACACCAAGATCCCAATCACCACACGTCACAAAAGTAAAAAGTGACTTCATCGAATGATCGGCACTAATCAAATTCGAATCGACAAGCCATTTATCAAAAGCATTCATAACATCCGGAAGAGTCTCTTGATTTGTAACTGTTTCCTAAGAATTTTTATAACAAATTAAAATTAGTAAACTCAAAAATTCGTAAAAAAAAGAACTTTAATGCAATCCCAATAAAATGCGGTGTAAATTATTGCCTGTACAATTCCAGTAAGTTCAGTACAAAATGAGGTTAAAATTGGTCGCTCGGTAGGCCTCACATATCGATGAAACCGGCCAACTTCTTCGAAATTTTTTCCGGAAAGCTGTATAACCGGAAACTCGATTATCTCCTGAAATCAATGTAAACAATTTTAATTTATTCGAACAACTAGTGACCCAGAAATTGAACAGTAATTCCTAATCATATTCAAAACTTGAATATTTCAAATAGTAATACATGGAGATTACTTGATGTGGCATAATTTTAATCCCTTCTTCACAAGTTGCTTCAAAATCGAGGACAAGAAAATAATCGAAATTTTGTTTATTTATGGCAGGTACTTTTCGGTTCATCGCTTGTATTTTCGAAACTGAAGCATCTTGCATCGAATATTTCCAACTTCTAGTCTAAAAATTTGATGAACTTCATCAAAAAAGAATGTTAACAATGAGCACAACAATATCCCCTGCATCCATGAAGAAAAATACAAAAAATTAAATCTTAAAATGATTAAAGTAGTCAGGTCACTCACCATTCCTCCGAATGTTTTATAAACCAGAAACAGTGCATTGGCTTTTTACTTGCTACATGTTAGATTATTCGAAGTACTTTTAACTAATGATTAAGAGAACTTGACAAAAATACCTTAGTAAAATGCTCATACGACGTTGAAAATTTACGCAACGAAGATGGAGCACGTGGACACATACTCTTCAAAATAGAATTCATTCCGTCCCTTACCGACAGTGAAATTCTGTGGACGCATAAATTTCTCGCTGCTAAAATCGGCAATTTAAGTCAATTCAGATTACAAACAAAATGAATAATCTGAGACCTGCTGACGTAACACTATCAGATATCACTGACTTAAAATCGCATGTTTTCGTACTGCTGAAATTACCGAATCGTCGTAAAACGTTGTATAGATCACAAATCTCAAAAGATATTCAATTTATTTGTCTGAAAACTTTTACTATAGCTAATTTGAAATGCTTTTAATGAAATTAGGATATTATCATACCATGTACACGTGCATCACTCGTTCCAAGTTAATGAAACGGTTATCGATTACAATAAATATCACAGAACTAAGGCATTTGACAAAAAATCACCATTTTATGGATTATAGTAAATTGTAAATGAAGTTGCACAAGTTCGACATGAGATCACAATGCGGCAAAGTATAAAGAGCATGTATTGAAAAAAGTATGAAATAGGCAGGATGATATGGATTACTCACCAGGAAACGTAATAATGACTGCTAACCAAAGAAAAATCCGTGAGTTCTTTCGACATACTATCATTTTACATAACATCACAGGTAATTAACAAAAATTCTACCATGGTAAGTGATAATTGACGAAAAAAACCGTTCAATACCTGAAAACAATGAGAATTTCAAAATATGGCAAAAAGTATTTAGAAAATTGAAATACAATACGATACAAATTCAAAACATTACAGAAAAAAAGAAGGAAGGGAAAATAAGAATATCTGTTAAGCAAGTAGGCAATGAATGGATATAAATAAAAGACTATCAAATCATCTAGTGAGACATATACCGCGGTGCCAGTATGATTACAAGTCGGACGAATACGAGACCCTTCAAAGGATCAAAGCGGTATCTCACCCGCTTAGTTAATATTCAAACTGTCAGTCTCTGACTCTTTAACCAGGTAATATGAGTTAATGCTTCTTTCGGAAAAGCAATGCGGTTTCATACTTCGACATTGCTCAAGCATTATCACTTTCGCACGGTGGTAAGGTTTCTTGCTAGAATTTTGCGACAAGGTAACCAATAAATTTGCAGAATTTCTTAAAAAAAATCACACCTGTTACGGCATAAAAGTGGTAATCATATTTCCTGAATTGGCATTATACAAATTTTGTTATTCAATTACTACCTTTTTTTTCACTATAACATGCTCCAAATATCCCTTCCTACTTCAAATATAGCTGAGTTAAAGGATACAATAAAATCTACGAAATTGAAATTGAAAACTTGACAAGAAATCTACAAGAATATGTAAATTTACAACGTTTCAAACAATGATGCCATAACGTATCAGCAATCAAGTCCTAGACGGAAACCAAACAATTAAAATGCATTACAACTGAATGGGTCATCAATAATTTTTTTATTCTGAGATGGCAAACTAATGCAGTCTGCGGATCATTTAAGAAATAGTAGTTCAGAGACGCTTAATATTGCAGCTAACCAACTAACTTGCAGCTATGAGGATCTTGTTCTATCTTAGCTCTCTAACAGTGTAGGTTGTATTGAGCTCACTAGTAACCGTAATCCTTATCACAATGATCAAGCGATATTATGCGTATTTACAATTTTAGATAACGAAGCACCAATATTAGAAGAAACATTTATGTCAGTTATTTGATTGCTTTGTCCACCGGAAGCTGTTTGTGCATAAGACGATCGTAGCAAAAGTAAGCTTGATAAGTGTTCTGGAGTCAATTTCAGAACGTTTTGACTTTTATGGACTACACAAGCAGCTGGAATAGAAAGAAGAAACCGAGCCAAGAGCGACAAATGTGGAAACTGCGCCTGACCAACAGTGGACCAAAACAGCAGCACATCCCTAAAAGTTGAACATCAACATAAATCAGTGTCAGCAAAAGAAACTGGCACGACATTCGAAAAGTAAACTATTTTTTAATAATTATTCATTTCGAACATGAGGAAAAAATTAGAATTGAAATATGATAAAAAGAATCAAAATTAAAATCCGTTTCCTTATTTTCTAGCTATAATACTTTGAAGGCATACTTTCACACCTTTTTTAGGTAGATGAGTTATAGCAGATAAGCAAATAATAAATGGGCAAATTAATTACTGAATAAATATGCAGATAAGGGAAGATGAATTTCAACAAGAATCAGTAAACGGAAGCAAACTTTGTTTGAGACGCTGGATACTGCGAACGTAAGTAACATTCCAGTTCGTCATCGATAACTGCATGATCTTCCAGCGAACTCAAAAATGATATCCGCTTCTTTGGTGGTTCGTCATCATTTGTACCTAAATTTTATTATGAAATACAAACTTTGCCAACCGGATGTTATAGCCCTTCAAACTTTTTCGAGCATGAGAAATAATATTCTTCATTCTTTTCACACTGATTTACGACATGCTGGAGTTGATCTGATAACAATAGGCTAATGTCTGCATCCAACTTCAAAACATGCAAAAGTTGATAGGCGTGTTACTCCAAAGAAGTTTGAGCATTATAAATACATTGCTTATTCTTAAGGATTTTTAATTGTTGCATCAGGTCACTAACTAGATCATCATGTCATGCTGAAGTAAGCTCAAGGTTTGTCATTTTCCAATATAGAAAACACTTGATATTAATTAGCTCAAGGATTGTCATTTTCCAATATAGAAAACATTTGATAAATCTTATCTATGACATGTAGCGTGGGCATGACAGAAGAAATTTTTAACTGCAAACTTTACCAACTGGATGTTCTTCGCTTTTTAAATTCTTCATTTCGGATGTTCCAATTAATTTTCGTATTCTTGAATAAGTTTCTAACCTAAAAATCTAGCTTTCCCATAGCTGCTTAAAAAATTCATAAATTGAGATTGAGAGTAATAAATACGAGAATAAATGTGAGTTTCGTTCAATGCTAAAATCTTTTACAAGCATTATTTCAAGAAATAGATCATCTTATTCCGAACAATAAAAAGAGAAAACCTTTCTTCATCCGAACAAATAACTGGAAGATGTTTGAGACGAGGATTCAAAACAGTTGCCATGCGATGTTCAGGCATAATCACTGATTCTGTGGCGCTTCGCAATATATTTTCTGTTTTCCGTCTTAATGAACAAATCCAGGTCGATGTGTCGTTACTGCTTACATCATCTTCATCATCTGATGAGAACTCATGGATTAACGCGAACCATTCTGGTTGTACCTGACAGGAAATTCTTCATAACCAAACCAATTAATAAAGTAAGTATACGAAATTCACAGATGTATTTAGATTGATTAATCACTACTTATTACAATAGGTGAACAATATTTGGAATTCAAAATGGAAGAATAACATACCATATGAAAAGATACTGCTGACTTATTGTTGAAAATTGATGCCATAATATGAAATGGTTCCAAATATTTTCGAATTTCATCAGCAATTGACCAATCAATTGATTGTACCAATACCATAATATCTGTATAGTCGATAAGTACTTGTTATTACAATCAGTGGCTTAACACTGACTGTAAATATAACACTAAATATCGCCAACAGCACAAGATATACAGCAGTACCTTTTGTGCATTATTCAAATGCTATACAAATTAAGTAATAACAGTGAGATTAAGTTACCTCCAAATGCGAATTCAAATCCTCATATAGAAACAGCATGGAGTAACCGCGAATGACTTTCTACAGTAATCAGGACGGAAGAAAACGTAAACACTGACTATAAACAAAGCATACCTGGATACTGTGAAATGGACAAATGCTTAACGCAATCTTTAACGTATTTTAACATTTCGTAACCGTAAAATAAATAATCAAGTCGTCCAGCTCTTTTTTCAACCGGTGGATTAGCCCAATGGTCTAAGCCTAATTTTTCTATCGCAGCTAAAAAGAGAGATTACATGCTAAGTAAATAAGCAAACAATAAATAAATGAAAATATCAACTTATCATGAACCCAAAACATGTGCTATTTGTGCTTCTGAGGTTTTACAGACGGCACCCCTCCTGGCAATAAAGCAAGTAATAAGAAAAATTACCAACTATTTTCTGACAGTCTACAAAAATGGCAAACACATCGTGTTTCTGATCGCATAATTCTCCGAAAATTTCATGGATGAGCTGTAACATATGAATTTTCTAATACAAACAATCAAATTGTTCAGAACTTATGCGATTATTATTACGAATTTGGTAAATTAGAGTTAATGGGTCATGGCAATTATTTAGGCAAGACATGCTCAAATGGATATCTCTGAGATAGTACAACAGACTAGGTGTTATAGGAGTTGAATAACTTAGAATGATTATAAGTTTATAAAAAGTCACATTATTCAATGTGTAACATATGCAGTAAAGATTTGCTTGTCCATTACAACTCGGAATATTTTCCGTAACACATAACAGTCTCTTGGATTCACCCGCTTCTCGGATCATTGTTCCCAATCCTGTTTTCATTTTTTCTAATGTATCAACACTGAAATGAGCATTCGACATAAACTTGTTATAATTATCGACAGATTCACAAGTTAAAACATTGAAATTTTTTGCCTTTTAAATTCCATAAAATACAGGTAATATCAAATTAGTACAAATGAAATTTACTTCACAATGCGGTGCTTGTATTTCCATTCTGCTGTGATATAATTAGCAGAAACAACAGCAATATCATCTTCGTTTACAACGCGCTCTACTGAAAACGAGAAACCGGATGTACGAGCAATATGTCCCACTTCTGCAGTCAATTCCGATAGCACCATTGATGTATTAGCTTCAATAACCTGCGAAAACAAAGTACCATATACCAAACACGGTCTTTAAAATATGTGTATGAAATCCCACCGAACATTAATGAACAGTATGTGTGGTGGAAATTCAAATCAAACATTAAAGAGCAAACAAAATTGGATTTTAAGATCAAAGTAATTAGGTAAAGTTGCTGACCTGATTCAGAGTAGAAGTTTCAGGTATAAGTGTTGAAACTGCCTGACGGTCCGGACACCGACAACGTCGCCCAATTGATATAGCCGTCTCGATAACACCATGCATCCCATCTCCCTAAAAAACCTCAAATCTGACCAATGAAAATGAGAAAAACAAACAAAAAATTAAATTTGCAACCAATCAATCTTTGAATATGGCAAGGTCTACCGAATCTTACGTACTTTTCTCTGTATCATTTATGCGATATTTCATCCTTTCCGAGCCAAATACAAAGAAATTAGCGTGTGAAAGTTATGAAAATTTAGGAAAATGCGTGAAAATTTAGGAAAGTTAAAATCAAGAAATCCAAATGTAACCTGGAAAATGGCAGGTGGAAGTAAATCGATAGCACAACATCGCATAATTGCATTGCAAAATATTCGGCGATCATAATCACTAAATGATGTCTCAAACGACGACTGCGCCGTAAGACTTGCATGTGAAACTGAAGGTGGCGCTGGGGATTCCTGAAATTACTTTTTTTTAATACGATTGTATTCCAGAAAAAAAACATCCGTTGTTTAATGAGTAGCGCGAAAGTTTCGATAGTCTTCAGAAGCTAAGCCGTACTTTAAAATTTTTTGAATGAATTAATTCTTCCTTAGATCTACTTGTTTAATGATAACTGTTGCCAACGCATATGTCATGTTCCGCCGACGCAATCATGGTATTTTCAATACTCTAGGACAATAAACTAGGAAAAACATAACAAAGGATTTAAGGGTAATTGAAAAATCCAACCAATCCAATATATCTACTTACTACGCCCGCGGTTTCACATATAAATCACCGAAATCAAAACATTTAAGAGAACAAGCACATTACTCTTCTGTATGCAGCAGATGTATCGGGAGACAACTGACTGACATATCCTGAAGCAAGAGTTTCAAAAGACTGTTGACCGGAAGCATCATTCGCTGTTTCTGTTAATGAACTAAAACGAAGCCACTAAAATGATAATGAAATGGAAAGTCTTCAATTTCGATAAAAATTTTTTTTTAATTTCGAAATGAAACCCTAATCGGAAGAAACGGACAACCACTTCTTTTTCCCCCTACTTCGCATCTATTTCACTCAGGCAAATTTTATTGCAGGAACAATTTACGTTACTTTATACTGTTGTCCTTGTAGCTACTACCGATTGGACATCTATGACGAGTCATATTCCCCGTTCCACCGCCCGTATCTGTATAAAGCACTTTGCATGCGTAACAAGCCACATAAGGTAAACGAGCTCCAGTAATTGTGTCAAGCACCTAAAACGAGAACAAAGCAAGCCTTTTAAACATAAAAGTTTCATAAAAATCCTTCGAATAAATTTCCATGAAGCTATACAGATAAGGATTTTCTACCACTGAACTATCGATTATTCAGACAATCGAATTTCTACCAGTACTCTAAAAAATCAGACAACTGTATGCAGAACACAGTCTATTACCAACCCTCGAAAAAGATCTATGGCGATCATACAGGAGTCTGAGATTTACCGATTAACATTTAGTAATGCCTTTTTAGATCAAAACACATACTTCGTTACGCATTAACATTGCTCTATCAATGCCATACTTACATACTGATGAAATCTTAAAGAAAAATTCTGTAGAGGAAATCTCTTGTAGCTTATTAAACAACGAACCTGTCCAAACAAATTCCATACTTCCGACCTGCCTTTCTTCTTGACTAATTCAAATCTTCCCAGCTTCATACGTATGTCATCTTGTATAACAGATTTTGGTGGCATGAGATGACTGTTCAGTGGCAAGGTGACACCAGTATCCCGACAGTAAGCTGTACTCAGGCCGGATAGATCATTTGGAATCTGAAAATCATTAAGTAATGCACTTAGCTATTAGTTTTTTGCGCATATGCATTTAATTCATGAGAAAGCCCCAAACTTCGCTAAGATATTATCAACAAAACCTGACCTGATGCTTAATCACAGACTGGGCATCGGACAATAAGCCATTCGTTTCCTCCGTGAAGTTTCCATCACAACTGCGAATCTGGAAGAAATTACCAATATGATAGATTGTTATGCACAATATCCAATTGAAAGAAATTAGAAACTGAATGATGTGAGATACTGAGAAACAAGACTGTCACCGAACAAAATATCGGATCAACTGGTAAATGAAAAGCATATTTCAAATTTGAAATAATCTGAGCTGACAGTATATTTAAGAGCCAAAACCAAAAATAACCGTATTCATTGCAGAAATATCATGAAGTCTGGATGGTCGCATGGGTGGGACAGAATGGGCATGTACTGGTAAAGTATTCCGGTGATGATGCACAGCGGTAATACCACTGATATCTTCGCCGGAAAGCGGTTCGCTTTTGGTGAACACAATTGTAGCCGTTGGTTGATTACAGCGTTTTATTGAAGCGAATGAAGTGATACCGTTATTACCGTTACTACTGCTCCAGCTATGCGAATCGCTAGTTGTATTATCGTCGCCTATTGTTTCATCACTGATGGCTGCGGTCTTCCGCAGCGCCGGATGGCGAGTACGGGTTGTTGTTAACAATTGCTCTTGAGTAGCCAACTTGAGTCTTGAAACAGTTCCGTTAATCTTCAGATTCCAAGTTTCTATGCACATTTCAAAGATGCAAATTATCATGACGAAATTGTTTTGAGTGAGTAAACAATTATCTGACATGGTTACGTTCACAACTAAGCAAAGATTTTCAGCAATTCAACAAAACTATCATAAAAATCGTGTCCAACAAAAAAATTTGGACTGTTGTTAACCTGATATCCCTCGGTGAGCATAATTTATGATCATAAGAAAAACATTCGAAAATCCCCGCAACGAAGGTGACGTCTTTTTGGATCCACGAAAGGACTACGAAAACGAGGACTTTGAGAACGTTTATATGTATGTACGTGCGTATGCATGCATGCATATGTGTGTGCGTGTGCGTGTATATATGTATATGTGTGCATAGGTATGTGCGTGTGTATTATATATGTGTGAATGGATATGTTTCAGGAAAACTTTTATGAAATGAATTACTCACCAGACAAGAGAGAAAAACAACAGTCATACACAAAGAGTAGTACAATTATCGTTCATCTATCAGGATAAGCCTTTCAAATTTCAGTGATATCCACAATCAGGAAGGCTATATAATGGTTACAATACTTGAAAAAATTTCATTTCGGAATAATCGTAAATGATAAATGCAACTCTTTTCGAAAATACCAAATATCCCACAAACTATTTCTTCCCTCTATTACTGCGATCATCTCCAAGGATACCAAAAAAATTTTCATAAATATTTCTATCTAATGTTTCATACAATCAAATAAAACATTTCGCAATAGAAATTTAAATGTTAAAGCTGCAGAAGAATTGAACATCATAAAAAATACACAAAAATTAAGTAAGAACTCCGGTTCCACCATAGCAGAAATAGCGCTGCAAATGGCACTCAAAAACAAAAGACGCATGGCTATCTGCGGCAAATTCGAATTTAATTGGGGATTTTTTTAAATAGGTTAGTTAGTATGGAGAGCTCTGTGTATTAGTTTAATTAGGAGTTGGATTAACATTGTTAATAACCAGCATTCTCTATGCATTATTCTGCCACTCATCAGCTCATTAGCATATAATTAAAGAAAAATTAACTTCGAATTGAATAGTTAAAAATAGTATAATCAAAAAAAAAGAAACAATTCATAGCGCGTTACAGCTTTACGATACATTCCATCCGTTTGATTATTTCCGGATCTTCAACGAATTCGAGCCATGAAACCTTGGTATTGCTTATTGAACGTAGCAGCGTTTATACAAATACTACTTTGTTGTGCTTATAAAATTTACAATGTTATTGCTATCAGGTGATTTTGTCAATGGATGAAACACAAAGGGATTTATTCGAATCGGTGGAAGATTTGCCGGAATGGTTACATATTGACTGGGTATGTCAAAATAGATATCCTGGACGTACCATCGATGACTATACTTTGCCTTCCGTACAGTATTCATTACCGTCTTTCCTGAAACTTTCAACCTTTCGCTTCAACGCAAATATGGTTTACTTTTGTACCTTTTTGCCAATTATAGTTGTAGTTATTGTGATTTTGACAATTATTGTGTATTTTAAAAGTGAAACGAGATTTTGGAATTTAAATTTCAAGTTTTTTCATATATCTTTAAAAAGCGTGTACAGTTTTAGTTTCCTCTGTGACTTCGACCTCATTTCTGTTTGAACACATTCAGATTAATCTTGATGCTACAAATTTGCCGAATGGTATTGTTTTTTAGCTGTATACAGAGAGTGGCATCAAAGTAGTATTTCGATGCCTTCGGTTTCTGTATCATCAAATCATTTATAACACCGCCGAAACAGCTATCATTGACCTGGATCGTTCATTCAGTTATTTAACAGCCTTTGCACAGGTGATAATTGGACCATGTAACATTTATCGTCCGTGCCATATCCCAAGAAAAACTAAACTGAGGTTAGGTTAGGACTTAATAGAAAAGCTCGAAATTTAGAACATGGAATTGGATGGTGATATGGGAACGTTGAATGGAATTGCACGAGAATTCAAGTTTTTTCTTGTTCAAGCGGGCTCACTGAGTCATTATATTACCAGCGATGGTTTATTTGCTACACGAAATATTGAAACGGTAAAGTAAATTGCTCGTAATTTCTTAAAATCCAATCTAACTTAAAATTTTGTATCCAGTTCACCTATTGGTAATCACCAACTTGAAGTAAACTGAAATGCTTATCAGAATTCGGAAGAGCATCCAGCTGTCTTCAGGTGCTGTTGTGAAATTCAAGATATCTTCTTAGTGATTTTCATAATGACAAATTAAAGTCGTATTCATTTGCAGAATTACATTTTCCATGCCCTATTAATTGCCTGGATGAAAGCTGTCCGTATTTCAAGTTTTTTCAAAAGTGAGCCATTTTGTAATAATGATCGCAACTTCTTTAAGTAAATAAATATTTAAACAGATGGAAAATTTTTTTTCAAATTGACGAAATTACTACTATTCATTTTTAGTTCTTGGTAAAAATTTATTATAGCTTTACACATTTATGTTACCTTCAAAAAATTTGTGCATAAAAATTATTTGTTCTTTAGTACATTGAGATTTTAAGTTCAAATAAGTTTGAATAGTTTATATCACTATATATAGGGTTCGGTGGTTTCGAAAAACTTTACCCTATGGGTGACGCATTATCTTCAACAGAACAGCTGTCAATGCTTGTTTCATACGGATTACTATTAAGTGCATCGCGTATGGTCAGTAAACTTAAATTTATGAATATGGGAAGTTTTCTGATAAATGACATCGGAAAACTAAAAGTGTGATCGATCCCTCTTGTCGATTTGGAATCTGCTTACTATTACAATTCTGTTTTTTCTTATCTTAAGTCCATAGTTTATAGTTGGCAGTTTTCAAGGCGGTCTGAATTTGCAGAGACCAACTAAGCTGATTTTGAATAAAGTTTAAGTTTAAAACACCTGATCTCTAGGATCGATCTTGTATATGCCGTTGTGTCACTGCCGCATGGCACCAACTTTATGTATTCAACAAAGAAATGTTTTGGTCAAATATGGTCAAGTTGCTGGGTTTATGCACCGGTAGCTTGCATTACTATCCTCCTGAAAGTCCCTCAAGTGGTAGGTAATCTAAATTACCTTAAAATAAAGTCATTTTAATTTCTAAATTTCTAACACGAAATTAAGGTAATGTTTTGAATACCGCATAAAAATTTTCCCACATTTGAGAGCCAGCTACTTGTAAATTTTTAAATTTCCTCCTGCATCGATATTTAGTGTGTCTTATTTCTATGACTGAAAAATAAAAAATTTAGAAATGTTCTTGGATTTATGTGATATTGGTAATACAGTTTCGGCTAAAACGTTTCTGGAAATAATTTGCGAACTTGGCACTGATTTTGAAGGTGTTGGCATCGTATCAGGTGAAAGATTTGGACAAGTCGATTTTTTCATTTATCATCAATTTTCACTTAATAGACCTTGCAGGCAAAGTTTCAAGCAGTTATATAGAATGTTTGCAGCAAATCGCTTCAAAAGTGTCAGAAAAACAGTATGTTTTGAGGTAATATTTTTATATATTTTTTGTTGGCAGATATTGTACTGAAGTTGAAACGCACTTAAGAAGAATAATTAGCAAGAAACTTGAAACTTTGAGAGGTCTCAGCTTTACAAGTCTCAATTTTTCCAGGAAATTGTATTTTTTGTTCGATAAAGATCAGAGTGATAGCCTTCTAGGAGCAGAATCCATTTTGCAGTATTTTTTCACATACTTATGTTCGAACATTATGGAACCTCTTGATCGGGTAAGTAAGGTAACATGCATAGAAAGGCAGTTTAACTTTCTTTTAAATTCATTCTTCAGATCTGATAAGTCTATAAAAAATCCCTAACTTATAAGAACTTCTTTTCTAGGAACTAGACTTCTATCCAATCAATGGAAAAGTTTGGAAGGACTTCCTATTTTCTTGTTGTAGTGGTTACGCGAGTGATCAATATAGCGACTGGATGCTTTTTATACAACTCATGTCAATGCTTATCAAAAGTTAGGTTTGTTCTTGTTTTGTTAATTACACTTTTTCTGTCTGTATGAAATTATTTTCACTGCTTTTGTAGAATCTGAATCAGTTTGGCGAGCAATGATGCCACGAATTTTTTCTAAATTCCCAGCGAAACGATTTCGCGAAATGCCAATCCATTCACTTATTTGCGTATTCAGCCTCTTTATCTCATCCTTGCACAATACAGGTGTAGTCTTTGTGATGCTACTCTATACATTAAGGATTCAGCTTCTCTCAGTTACTTTATGACTCCTAATTAAAATCATAGTCCTCAATTATACGTTTTCACGAGAATTTCAGTTTAAATTGAATGAATTTGTAAAAATAGTGATGTAGAATGTGAACTGTTCATCACTTAGATATGGAAGAGACATCCAACAAGGTGATTTCATTAGCGACAGCTGCGTTTGATCCTTCGGATAAAGAACGTCACGATGTCTTGATTAGAGTAGTTCAATGTACGAAGTATATTTTGGATGAAAATCATCATGATTCTTCTCAAGCAGTCGCAACGTTGATAGCATGTAATTTCCATATATCTATTCTCTTTTGTTTTATGAAGTTTATTTATATTTTCAAATTTACTTTTAAATTCCTAAAAAGGAAAATTTATCTGAATTTCTGTCTGATCACCTCTTTTAGAGTGGCATTTTTGATTAATTCGGAATACAACCCTACGCGCACACTAACCTAAGCGGCAATTTCAAAACTCTAGGATTTTTTCCTTCCAGTGCACTGTAAACCTTTGAACACACTATGATGCAAAAGATCTCATCAATTTATTGTAAACTTTTCAAACTGTACTCAATTTTAAGAAATTGTTTGCAGTGATGGGAAGGCTTGATGATAAAAAAGACGTTTCGCTTTATGCCGAGTGTTGCATGTGTATCGGTGAAAAAGTATCTGAGGTATTAACTTCTGTTTCATATTCTTCGGAAAGAAACATATGAGTTAGTTTTGAAAAATCCTGCACGAAAAACAGAAATATTTAGATCGGCTCCTTAATGCGCTTTTTACCATCCATGAGTGACATGGATTTGGAACAGCTCTTAGTGATGACTGCTCACTGTCGAACTGAAAATAGTGTTCTGTGGAATGCAGCAATCAGTCATCTCAAAAGTCCTAATTTCTCTATGGCAATAAGTTATATTGTTGAGCAGGTTGGTTTTTTTTATTAACGCAGTACTTAATAATAAATTGCTGAAACTGCTTATTACTGCCTTTTCAATCTAGAATCACATTTTATTGAACAATGGACTTTTTCCTTGGTGTTTTCTTCTGTTCAACTCTTGCATTCTTGCAATATTGAGCCAAAGTTATTTGATGGTAATATTAAATCACAAAAAATGAAATCATGACTGTTGACGTTATATTATACTACTTGTGAGCAATTATGAGCACTAAGAATTATGGGTAGTGAATAATTGAGTAACTAAACAATTTAACTACTCCAAAATATTGAATAAATATTTTAGAATAATTAAACAAATAATGTGTTATGTGTAATTAATACTACATGTCTGTTTGTAATCAAGCAGACACTTAATACTGATTACATGAATAACATTATGTTTTCTATAATGAGCAGTTAAAATTGGCTGGTGGTGATCTATTTTCGAGTTCGAAGCTCTAAATTTGCGGTCTAGGTAGCAATCAAGCTTTTTTTTGGAAATTTCTTATTCATTTTAGTTGGCAATAAAATTTGAGCGCAATCAATCAGCTTTTCAAAACATGCGTCAAGTGGTGCAAAATCTCTTAGCTGAAAAAAGTTGTAAATTTGAAGTTTGTTTATACTTTTTACGAGAATTTTTGAGAAGAACTAACGATGGGACCTATCCGGTTGAGCTCATTGTTCCCATATGGTTAGTAGTTACTTTCGAAAAGCCGGACACTGATGGTTAGTTTTTCGTCATATTCAATCTTTTAAGGTAATTTTCCAAAGTTTTCGATCCGTTAACGTACTTAAATTTGTATTCAATAATTCGAGTGGCCTTTAAATTTCTCATGAAGCCAGACCCGGATACTTTGTCCATCACGAAGACAATAATGCTTCGGCTGCATTGGGGGGCGGAAAAATTTATCTCGAAAATTCCAGGCCAACTGAAAAAATACTGAATTAACAATATGAACAATGGCAGGGACATGAATTAACAATTCCCATTATAAATTTCTTTAAACTGTTTTATACATGCAGCCTGAATAGCGCTACAATTATGTAAGTTCGAATTTCTAGAACTTAATGACATATCTGAAAGTATTTGGAAGAATCTTCGAGTGTCATTTCGAAGAAATTGCTTGTATTTTGAAGCTTTTTCTATGGACTCACCCTCAACAATTCTCTTAATACGTTGGCTATTTGAGGTTTTTTTTATTCTGCATTTGTTCTTTTGCTTTAAACTTTAAAATCCTTCTTAATTCTAAGTTCTAAACACAGCACTTATTGTAGACTGTATCAAAAAACGCAAATAATAATAAGAAATGGGTTTACGAGAATATTATGAGTTGGTCCGAACTGCTGGTGGCACCTCTACATCGTATTTTGATGAATGGTGAAGAAACAACAGTGATGCAATGCTGTCGTATAATGTCCTATTTATACATGTATGTTGCGCAACAAATTTATAAGCCACCCTCAGAATGTAATTTTAACCGGTCACCATTTGTGCGATTCTGCAAACTTATACTACAAAATGTGGTAAGTTCAGATTTCGGAAAATGCTTCGATCTTAGTCTGAGTTCCATGAGTTTCGAAACTGGGATCAAATGGACTTTGAAATTTTCATCAAGATATAGCAGGAAATAAAAATACAATGAGATGGAGTGGACGAAAACAATTTGCTTCCATTGAAGTTTAAAAATTCAATTCTCACTCCTCTTGGCCTTCAAAGAAATATCGAGATACATGTGTCTCCTCCTTTTGCTTTTAAAGTATTTTTTAGTAGTGAACTTACGAGCAATCATAGTAGGATTTAGGGAAGCATTTTTCACTATTTTTCTTTATTGTTTGGGGCTTTAGATGATGAGGTTTTTTTGGAATTTTGACTTTAAAATTTTCAAACTTATTTTGTATTTCAGCTCTTAGTGCGCGAATTTCCCGCGATCTTTGTTCGTGAAGTATTACCTAACTACATGGCTGGCATGTTATCATTGCCAGTACATTCTGTGCCGTATCTTCTGCGTGTTGTTTCGGATATACTCGAAAAACACTTGGATGATACTGTCTTAAAAGGCATATTTGTGAATATGCTCAAGGAAAAACCACAGTTGACCACCGCATTATATGCTTCATCGAAAGTGGGCACAAAATTGTTCAATTTTGTCTCACAAATAAAGTAAAAGTTTAAAGAATTATCGAACACATGTATGAATACTCCTGAAATCCGTCCAATGACTCTACCGTAAGAAAATTTGTAAACACCGCCAAATTTCAAGAAAGGATTTGAAATATTGAACTTATGTAATGAAACTTTGATCATGTGTGAAATTGACAAGGACGTTTTTAAATGCAGTGAAATGAAGTGAGGAATATAACTAGTAGAGATGGGTAGATCACTAGATTTTTAAACTCAAATTTGATCATATTTGCGGATCACCAAGAATCCACTAATTCATATTCGCATTCGTTATGAAAGTGTGACGATTTTCTGTCTTAACTATTCCTTAATATATGTAAAGAGATATGAGGGAAATGTCGGAAAAACCGAAATAAACTGGGCATAAATATATAGAAAACTTTAAAATCACTAACTACTTACAAACATCAAATTGGTTATAATTGTACGATATTTGCCTGTAAGCTATTCTTTCATCTTCCAACATAACTAGTCATTTACTGAGTTCATTTATTATCAGCCTGGTGGTCCAGCCTTTGATCTTGCCAATATCTTGTTCCTCTGCAGGGAGTTAAATTCAATCATATCGCTGTCATAGACATCAGTTTTTGTCATGTGATATGTCCTGTTTATTCTCTTTATGTACGATTCTAGGAATACCTCAATAATTAATATCAGATGATTTATAATCCCTTGTTCACCAATAATGTCCTCTATTAGATGGTCAATTGTTTACCATAAACGGTGTTCACTGACCACCGTCCAATCTGGAGGGAACAACGTCTTAATTACTGCCAGGGATCAATCTCACAATCTGAAGATCCTGAGTTAACTCGCGTTCACCGCTCCTCCACAACTATTTCCTCAATATTTTTGGTACTGTCGAATAACGTTGATTAACTATATAACCTCTCAGTAAAAAAGTTTGATCTCAACCATATTCGTCTCTGCAAACTATTCAAATCAAATTTCTTTATGGTGGCGAATGTAAATATTTTTCGATTAGTTCCAATTTAAAACAATAGGAAAGTGCACAGAAAATACTTTGCTATGGAACACACAAGATCATATAAGATGTTGTCGGTGTTAATAAACACAGTACTACTGAGAAATGAAAAAAAGTTTGAGGTCACACAGTTCAAGAAGGCTACTTTTATGAATATTTCTATAAATCTCATAAGGCAGCTATGATGCACGAAGAATACAAGAATTCGTGACGAAACCAGTGACCGCAAAGTTAAGGAAGTCATAAATCAGAGTAAGGGGATTACAGCAAAACGATAATGAGAGTTAAGTTCAAAAAGACAAGCATACGTACGGGTCCACCGGGTCAGAGAATAACTGTCAGAGAGCGTTCGAAAACTGTAATTAGAAAGTATGTACAAATACTAAATATATGTGAATTATTATGAATGTACAAAAGCTACTTGAAGGTAACTACAAGAGTTACCTTCAAGTTATTGCTTCACCAAGTTTTGACTGCTTTTCCGGCTCATGTTAAAGTTTTCTAAACCCTTCCCTTTTCTCTCTCTTTCTCCTTTTCTTCCTCATCGCTGCTGTCTGCAAATTTCTTGACTCTACCAATAATATCGATCTTTTCCAAGCTATGTCGTCGTCGAAGTTTACCCTGAGTATCAGTCGAGAAAATGTTGCCACGAGACTGGTTTGCAACATAAGGAGAAAATGGTATCACGCTATCTTTAGAATTGTTTCGAGACAACACACATGAATTCCCTAGGATGCTACCTGGAACAGGACCAATTAATGTATGCGCTTAAGTACACGCTCATTTTGTTCGTGATACCATACTAAACAAAATACAAAGATATAAGTGAAAATTTTCCAGCCTTTATACCGTGACTTTATAATTTCAGCTCATTTAGGGTCCCCTCCAGAAACACCTTTATTTTCAAGACATATTGTGAAAAACATGTTAAAAGAATCAAAAATTTCATTTCGAACCAAGTACAAAGAATTAAACTTACGTGATCGTACTTTCGGCATCGTTGTTGTAGTCAGCGAACTACGTTTCAGGAAATACGGTGAATCAAAGAAAATACTTCTTTTTCTTTGGAGAGCATTTAAGGCATCCGAACTGATTTTTCGAGCAACTTCAGCTTCTTCAAGCAGTGCCATTTCTAATCTTTGTTGGTGCTGTGGCCATATCTTATCCATTTTCAATATATTTCTAAACAGAAATCTTTGAAATAAAAATTCCAAAAAATTTCCTATCTCTTCAACTTATCAACTCAACAATAATGAATCAGACGAAATGGTTAGAACAGCTAAAAATATAAGCTTTCATCGAGATATCGATGTATTGCTTACACAAGTTCGCTACCATTCACTCAATGCAAAGAAATTCTACATTCCACAATACTCTAGATTTACTTACTCCCTTCTCTCCTCGAAAACATAATGAGATCGCCAGAGTGATGCGATTAATTCAGTCGCAAAAACAACATCCGCATGATCAGCAACCATTCTTAAAACAAAAATGCCATCTGTCCTCAAATATTTATGCAAAAAACGGTCAACGTGTTTCTTATTTTCTGAAAGAAATTATGCATCGTCTTTGTTTTGCAAAATTATACAGCCAGGACAATAATCCCGTTTCTTTAGTCTATGTTTACGACTCCTTGTCTGCACAAAAGACCAAGTGACCAGTACTGCAAAAAGCATTACTAACGCGGGTCGCTTTTATCGAATGATGTTCCGCTCATTTCGAGATGATTCAGAATAAAATGCTCCTTTGAACAATTTCCCGTTAACAAATAGATCCAGTTCAAAACGCTCAAAACTGTAAGTGCCGCTAATATCATGAACCTAAAGTCAAACAACAGTTATTACTACCATAGTTTAAAGTAAAGCTTCCAGTAGTGATTGGTCTTCGAATTTGTGTACAGCTAAACAATTAATAATTAATAGACTCTATTAATAGATCTCATACGAAAAATAATTACCAAGTCCACAGAAGAATGAAAATTTTCTCAGTGAATAAGTTCACAACAAGAACACATTGCACCGTATGAGTTTGTATGTTTCCCATTTCTCGGACCTGGAAAGTATGGATGAAATATATGGAATGAGAATGAATAACAGAGCATTGAAATATGGCTTTACCTGACGTTTCTGATTCACTTACTTCAAAATCGCAAAGAGTTACTAAGGGGAAAATCCCACTGTGGTGCCATGATGGAGAAATATTCTTAGGCCAGATAATATTCCTCCACGATTCTAGGCCATAATTATTCTTAAACTCTGGTAATAGGTATCTGAAAAAAGAGGAAAGTCATCCAATAAAAATAAGCATTCTTCCAGTGTAGACCAGATCGAACAATCAAAAAGAAATCTTGTGGGTTCCGGAACTCCAAACTTCTCAAGAATTTCAACTTGGAGTAATGGTTCCTTACATTAAATTTCATTGGCCATATACACCTACCAACTACTATTCATTTTCTGAAAAAGATTACCGTGTCATCAAAGAGATCTGGAATATAGTATTTGCCAGAAATGCTAACTTCGCTAAGATGTATATCGTTGCAACGTAATAATTCGCATATTTTAAATTTAAAAATCGACAAATTTTATGAGGCACCAGTTTCTTCTGAAATTTAGATGACAGATATGAATATAGAATTCAAAAACAACAAAGTTAGATAAATGATGAATTTAATTTAAATTGAATACCTTTTTCACCCGTTCATTGAATCGCAATGCACCTTGCAGATGTATACATAATGTTTCAATATTTCCCTTTTTAACTTCCAAGGATGAATTTGCTGGATCATTAGCTAATCGAAGAATTTGACCCATTTTCATCCCTAGAATATAAAAATCTAGCTGATTTAGCAACATTCTCGAAATCTATCATTCAATCATGGTGGTTTGGTGGTTTAAATCTTAGTTACATAAATAAAACATTTTTCCAGGTTTTTTTTATCTTTCCAAGTTTGGTGCAGTAAGAAAAATAAATAAATAAATAAAAATGACCATATTTGGTGCACCATAGCCTAAAAAACAAGAAATCAGTGAAAAATCAATGTCTTATAAAACTTCATTCTTGTTTATCGCTGCTTAATCACAGCAACAATGGAAGTATAAAATAAAACCTGACTGTCCGGCAAAATATTTCCATATAAATGTAGGTGCCTTAAAACATGCTGCTTGAAATAGCAAAAAAAAAGGCATCCATTGATAGTAACTAATCCGATGTTCTCGGCGTTCTTCTGCCGAAATATGCTCCACAAAGACCTTCGGTGGAACAAAATACGTGTCCTGCGCCCAACAGAAATTTTCTGCGTACTATAAAAAGAAAAGTCAACAAAAAATTTCTGATTATAGGACGAATGTAGGAATGTGAAAAGCAAGTTCTGGATTTTCTTACGGCATATAAAGTGCATAACCGAAATTCGGTCTATTATACTATCGGAAAACTTTAACCATCGTAGTCGTGATAAACGATAAAATTAGATACAACCTGAAATGTACTGAGTTTTTAGAATCGAAGAGGTAACCTGCTCCCACGCTCCACTGAAACCCATTGGCAACATACACTCCATCGGACGGCCACCGAATTGTTTAAAACTGATGATAACGGAAAAGGCAATCAATAAATTGCAAGTGAAATAACTGTGTAAACTTGCAATGACATCCTGTAATATCATTTGATTAAGTAGAAATTTTTGAAAAGTTAATACTGTTTGTTTATTAATTATGTACGCTTTTACTTGCTTATACGTATAATATGCATATGAACCGTAACCGTCGAAGCATGAAATAAGGGTAGCAGCTTGTTATACGATTCTGAAACCAAATTTTTGATACTATCAAAGAACTTTCAAACCTTGACGATGGGTTTATTCCTGTATGGAACAGAGTGAAGGATATGGAATATCATCGACATTCTCCGTTATTCTCCTTATATAAACAAATAAACATTTAATTGGTCGCCAATTGCACGGTTAATTGCGAATAATATTTGGTCTGATCTTCGAAATAACTGGAACAAAACACTATCATCCAGCACACAATTTAGATGTCGCCGAATTACCAGCCAGAACTTGGCATCATCCCTCCTGAATCTCTGAAAACTCCTCATCATAAAATCCCGCTTCAATGGAGACATCCTGATCCCTCCAATCCACGGCTCTCTATCTCTTCTTACTCCACATACCAGATTGTCCCCTGCCCGTGGAGGAAGAAGGGGGAGAAATCAGGAAGAAACTAGTCCGTTTCTTGTGGGCGCATTAAGACTTGGTTGTTTACGGACAACAATTTTCTGGATTGCTTGTCAACAGAATGATAATCGTTATAGTGCACTTGTGACGAGGGAACATTACAATATTCACAGTGTGCTGAGAGAACTGTCTGATATTTGCTTTTCGTATCGTTTTAAAATATTTGTTGGCAAATAAAATGAAGGATTTCGGAAACTCCGGATTCGAAGAACTGCCAGATGGAACTGCCCCATTCCGAAAACGTTCGGCTTCTTCCCAAAATTCGGTTGTTTGTGAAGCGATGAATGAAATAGTAGCGACGACGTGGGTCCCACTCGAGGTTATATGGAATGATAGGATTGTCACAATTACATGATATAAATGACGTGGTAAAGGAATTCCGCGGGAACTCGCATTTTGTCAATAGCCCATTGCGGAATATTGCTTATGGCGTAAATAAATGTATATAGCGGCCTAGTTGTATATAGCAGGCAACTTATGTGAGACATATGTATTATGTCTACATCCTTACAGATACTATATATTATAATAAAACTATAAAACTATGAAGTTAATTAAATAATTCAAATATAATTATTACCAGTTTTTACGGGGAATACAGTGCATTCGCAATGAGGAGGTTGATGGCGTCTTACTGAAAGTGACGCATAATTTTATGTAATTGCTAAGATTTCCGTAACTGAGAAAAAAATTTTATTGAGCACCCAACAAACATGAAAATCAGTTGAACATTATATTGTGGATATGCACTTTGAAAGCGACGTTTAATTTACACGAGCAAAAGTGAACACATAGCGTACAATTAAGGGAAAAAACAGAAAACAAATACTAGAATTTATACGTATAAAATACAACAACCATTTTTCCTGCTGTAAAAGTTGTCGAAAAGAAAAGGAAAAAATGGATTGGTAGGAAGAAATTTATGTGTTTCGTCGTATTTATCCTGAAGAATATCCTCGAAGAATGATAGATTTCCCAAACCGGTGGGTGGTAACACAATTAGATTCCAATGTTTTACTTCATTTGTTTTTATATTATCATACCTAAGACACCAAAGAACAGTATATTATATATGGGTGGAAATAATGGGCAGCAATAATGAAGAACTGGGTTGTCAGTAAATCATACGGATAAAGTATGAACAAAACTTTAATAGAAATTTTCTTCATTTTATTGAAATTAGTTTGATTTAAGAAGGAATAGTTGGTATTTTATTCATAATAGCTTTCAGCAATTTCTGAAATTTCGAAATTAAAATTTGAAAGAAAAAAATTCATGGTAAGCTATCCAGCCCATTTTCTGACTGTGTAAGCTGATTTACTGGTTTAGGAAATAGACATTTCCAAATTTAGATTATCTTATTGGTGGATGGAGAGGCAACAGTGCAAAAAAAATTATTATAAGTTGTAAAAAGAAAAATGAAAATGATCACAGTTTGAAATTTATATAACTACAATATGCTTGATGATAAGAAGCAGCACATCAGCTATAACTAGCAATATTATAGGATAATATTGCGTTAATTGAAAAGGTCAGATAGAATGCGATGGGATGATCAAAATTTGTTTTTCTTTGGTAATTGGAGTATAGAATGATGATTTAACAAGTCACTCGAAACATTTTGTATCAATTTAGTTTTTAAGAAGTTCAATTCCCTTTTTAAAATTATAAATCAATTTGATGAAGATAATGCGGTTTATAGAGGGATTTGCAAGATTTTCTAGTTTAATGATGTATGACGATTTAGAAATCTCATGTCTTAAAAATAATTGGATACGATGAAGTAATTTGATGACGGCGTCGTGTGCTTATAAAGGGAAACTTAAGTCCGATGAAAAATCGTACTATTACTGGAAGGCACGCTACACTGGTATTGGGATTATCCTGGTGATAAATGTTTAACATCTAACAATGGACGAATTGAAACGATATTTTACATCAAAATAAAAATCTCAAAATATCAAACCGTAATTAATAAATGCTATTAAAATTTAGCAACTTATCATTAAATACCAGTGTCATCGACAATTGATTCATTTTGCTATAAGAAGATAAAGGCTATTTACAAAAGTTATGGATGTCGAAGATCATCTGAGCGTGGGAGAATGCCCGTTGTGACGTTCATTGTGTTTCGGTAAAGGCGTTTCCATATACCTTGTATGTACTAATAAGCAATCCTTTTCATTCTTTGTATCAGTACTAGTATTATCCTGAAAAATTCAAAAATCAAATAGTTGTAAAAAAAGGAAAAAAAAATCATAGTGGGATAATAGTCGGGCAGCTTTGCTTTATTTACCTACTATGACAATGCAGTTGTTTACTTACTTATCCATATTTTTATATATGACTCATTTATTTGAATAAATATTTCCATTTCTGATTCCTTCAATAAATCGATCAAATCTTTTCATCTTATTGTCACCTAATTTTTCATTTCTGATGATATAAATTTGACAGAAAATATCACAAACTAAGTCTTTTTGTGATAAATCTGCATTGTCTTCAACATCTGTATCGGTTTTGTTCGCATTATCAGTTCCAGTAATTCCATGACCTAAAATTATAGCCTGTAATGCATTTGTTGTTGATATTTATATTGCATTTAAAAGAAGGAATGTTAAAATAGATGAAATGTTAAAATAGATGTTAAAATAAAAGAATATTATAAACAAGAAAAAAATCGCTCAAAACGAGTCTCTTTTTTCATTTTTGATCATATAAATTTTAACATATTTTAAATCCTTCCTATTTTGAAATCACATATATGTAACATTGTATTTATATTTTGATTTACGCTACCGAACTCTTTTCTAATGGATGGAAATTTATACACAAACCATCGGAAGCCTCTTCTCTTTTGTTACTTTCTTCCAAGTGTTTCATCAAAACGGCGACAACAACATTGACCAACACAAATTGCGAGATCAATACAAATATGATAAAGAAACATGGTGCTAATATTGGATCGACACAGCAATTCGATTCACAACGATCTGACGGATCACAATCGTCACGTAATGCATCCTAAAAATGAAAACGTAAATTAATATTGAAATGTCGTGCTAGGCATAAGATATACTGATGTAATTTTTCCACAATTTTTAATAAAAGTTGCAACTTTAAAGAAAAATTTAATTCATAAGTTTTCTATAAATATTGCAATTAGTATTTACAAATATATTATATGAATTGTTTTTGAATTTTTTAAAATACAATTAAACTTTGTTAGTATTTAACGTTCATATACCTTCATAATTCCATTCCAGTTGTCGCCTGTTGCTATGCGAAATAGTGTAAGAAAAGCCATGCCGAAATTTTTGAAATGAGCATGCTCACCCAGTCCATCACATGGATGTTCATCCGAACATTCTAAAAAGTTCATTTTATTATTTTAAATTATAAAAATATATTGGTTTTTGAAATCCTTTACTCGGATCTGAAAGGCTAAACAATCTTAATACAGTACTTTTTCTTTCTTTTCAAATTGTTACGGTAAGTAAGTTAGTAAAGTTACATTATAATTTTCTGCCATATATTTACTGTTATTTTAAATCGGATTAAAAAAAAGGAAAAAGATTTCCTCTCTTAGCTTACATACCAAGTTTACCGAATAACTCGACACCGAGAGCAGCGAAAATAAAAAATAAGAGAAAGAAAAGGGATCCAAGATTTCCAACTTGTGGTAATGCTTCACCAACTGTATCTAACAATGATCGGATACCTTTAGCCATTTTTAATAATTTCAACACTGCAAATAAATCGTGTACTATATATCTCAAAATTTGATAAATAAGATTAATTAACGTTTTTGCAAAATTAAAAATGAAATAATTTCAGATGTCTATGCAGCATAATTTATTTCCTGCTTATTCATTTTAATGTAAAAAGCATATTTCCAAAAAAATCATGAAAATATCCGTAAAGCAAATTTTAAAATTTGGAAATTTTTTATGAGTCTTGTTGTCTTAAACGCGTAATCTCAGCATTTGAATCAGAAATATTGTCCCTTAAATAAATCACCAATAGTGGTTGTGCTGAATACTGTAATTATTAGTTGTGTCAGCATGAAATACAAATTTTCTAAATACTTCAAAAGAACACTCAAATCGAATTCATATTACCTCGAGCAATTCGTAGGACTCGCATTACTCGAATAATTGTTGGGTTAATGGGTAATTCTAAAGCTTCGAATTCCTCGAATACAATACCAGCAATAGATAAGATCACAATGGAAATATCCAACTGATTCCATCTGTAATTTAAAAATGATCTGCGAATTGTATAGAATTCTATGATTACAGTTATGCAGAAAAAAGGACAATAGTGTGGTGATTTTAGGCCTATCATGTTTAACCTTTGTTCTTCTTCTAGATATATCAATCCTGACCGATAACGAATTGCAAGAATTGATGAACAAAATTTTTATACTTCTTTAGTTTGCTATAAAAATAACAGAGTAAAGCCTAGCAGTTTTAATTTGCCTTTTTTTCTTACCGTTCGCTGAAAAATCGACGAATTCCCAGTGCTATAAGTTTAATCGCAGACTCTAGAGTGAAAACAGCTGTAAAAAAATAATTCAATGTTTTCAGGACATATTTCAATCCGGTTGGCATCATATAGAATTCCATAGCCATTGAGATAACATTTACCCCTGAAGTAAATAAGGGTCAACGAAATAATGCGATAAAAGAATCTGGAGGTCCTTTTAACTCTTTTTAAGCTCCAAATTACTGAAAATAGGAATATGATGGTTGTTTCTCTACAGCTTTCTTTACTTCCTTTTTTATATGAACATTTGATTCCGATTTACATCCTCTATTCATGGTGAAATTTATTAAAGTTAGAAAGTTAAGTGAGAAATTTAATTTACTGAATTAGTATCTATCTTTAAGAGCTTCAAACATACCAATAACAGCTGCAATGGCTAGATCGAAATACTTTGATGTCACAATATTGTTCAAAAATAGCCTCGTTGGACCATAATTGTGCCAATATGGTTGTGATTTCTCTCCTCAAAACGTCAGTAAATATAATCACGCAACTTGTTAGAATACAAATTATTTATTCAAGTTTTTTATGTTTACACAAAAGATGTTAAAACTTAAATGAATAATTCCTATTCCGACAAATTCATGATACTTTATAGTAGCATTAAATGAAATCAAAATTCAATTATGGATTTTGTTCAATTTCAATTTCACTTATAAAATGAAATTACGGAAAATAAAAAAGAAGAAAATGTAGTGATTAATTACGTCTTTTCTTCTTTTGTCCATACTCGCTTTCGTATTGTTGTCGTTTTAACTTTCGCTCCAATCGTTTTTTTAATGCTTGTTCTTTCATTTCAGCTTCCAGTGCTTCTTTACATTTATGAAAATTCTCCACAACAACACCAACAAACATATTCAATACAAAGAATCCGACAAGTAGTAGGAAAGAAATGAAATAAATCATTCGCCACTCATTGTAATTTTCAATTGGCTAAAATAGAATGAATAAATCTATGCGTACAAAAAATTTTTAAAGAAACTATGAAATCAAATTATATCAATCACCTGTAAATCTACGCCTGTAGCATCGATACCTTGGTACATAATAGCAACCCATCCATCCTTACTGGACAATACAAACAGTGACATCAGTGCCTAGAAAAGTTAAATTTAATTTGAATGTGAGAGATCTCAATTTTCAAATAAATCTTTGTCAGTGATATATAATTTTTTATAATTTTTAACTTTTAGCTTACATATCCAAAATTGTCAAAATTGTCAAAAGACTAAGAAGATTGTCAAAAGCTTACTTGGCCAAGATTATCAAAATTATAACGATGATTAACCCATCGATTTCGTGGATCCATCAAACAATCTGCCCTTGTTGTAACATTACTTATATTTGGTCCAACACAATGAAACATCATACCCTACAAATAAATTCATCTTTTATTATAAATGATGGAGATATGCTAATTTTATCGAATCCCAGCTCTCTTTAAAGTGATAACTTTCAGTTTTTTCTAAAATTTGAACAACTGACTAACTGACCTTTGAACTAATTGCAATTTGTTTATTTGGTGGTACAATTATCTCTTTACTTATTAGTTTTGCAAATATATCTGCCTAAGGTATGTCCATCTGATTAAAACGATTTTCACCTTGAACAATTGAACACCGAGAATACCGAAGATTATGAAAAAAGTACAACAAATCAAGACAATGTTTCCGATAGGTTTCAGACTGCTTATCAATGTCATAACCACGAGTTTTACGCCAGGAGCTCGATTGATAACACGTAATGGGCGTAGTGCTCTCAGCAACCGTAATACACGTATAACACCAAATATTTTCGGTGAATCTGAAAAGGTGCAAAAAAAAAATAAACGGAATAGCTATCAGTTAAAGTATATTCAAAACAAATATGAATCAAACAAACTAACCTATATGAACCAACAATTCAAAAACGATATTTATAAGACTTATAATAACCAGTGCGCCATCTAAAATATTCCATCCATCTTTAAAATAAGCATCTTTTCCAAGCAAACATCCATTTGCAACGACCTAAATTGTCAATAAGCAATACCAGCTAAACCAATTCATGCTTTTCATTCCGAATTATTCAATTTAAAAGTTTGAAATCATGCTAACCTTCATACTCATTTCGATCGTGAAAATCACAGTGAAAACATATCCCGCAAATGTGAGAAACTGTCGTTCTAGCGATTTCGGAGGAATTGATGGTCGTTCCATTGCTAATGTAATACAATTAATACCAATGAATATCAAAATAGTATAGTCAAACCATTTTTTCTGTGTTAGTTGAAGGCATCTAAAAGAAGAAAAGCGTAGCACACGTTGTGTGTTGCAACATTTGTTCCATTTACTTCTGTTATATTTTCTTTCTACAAATATAATTGAAACTATTCACCGTTATTAGCTTGATTTCGATATCAGTTTTAAAACTTCAAATTTGCTAAACTTCCCGTTGATACTTTCAAGTAGCATTTTTGACACAATGAAACAAACAAACAAACGTACTTAATTCGGATTCGATTTTTTGAATTAAAAATATAAAGTGAATGATCAACACGTTTGTAAAAACACGTTTTCCTTAATAAACGTATCAATTTCGTATTTTCTCGTTCTCTCTTACGTCGTTCTTCCTGTTCAATCGCTATTTGCAATTCTTCATTAGCCTACAAAAAATATTTCTCTCATTGGTTAAATTATTCGAGAACCCAAAAGGCATTCATTATTCTAAATTTTAAAAAAAAATCTTATCAAAGATTATTTCCTTTGTTTTTATGTTTTTTGATTTCTGTCACCAATGTTATAAATGCTTGTGCAAAATTTTTAGATATATAATTAAAACTTAAACATATTTCAAATATATAATACAATGATCAAAATAATGATTAAACTTTGAAAAAAAAGAACTTCCTATTTGCTGTTGCTTAGTATCGTAGTGCAATAGAAAGAGTAATAATTTTCGTTTAGAAAAGGTTATTACAAAGTTTACTTAAATTTACCTTTTACTTCAAAGGAGGAAAAAACGTTCGTTTTGTGCTATATTTATTTCTTAAATTTAATGCTTCCTATTTTTACGAGATTTAAAATATTTATTGCACGTTAAATTTATGCAAAGTTTCCATTTCGAACGAACATTTAATATGCCTCAAAAATGTTAATTTAAATGGAATTTGCTCTGTCATTAATTAAAGCAATATTTTTGGATTATATTCATTCTACAACTAAAACAATTCTACGCATCTTTCATGGTTCAATACCCCATATATATTTATTTTATACGATTTCTATGTAGAAAAAGGACCATCAGGTTGGAAAGGAAATTTGATTAATTTTTATCCTTCAGGAAGAGCAAAGAAGAAAACTTTTTTTGTGAACTCAATCAACAAATGTACAGATTATAAAGGTATATAACTAACAACCTCAATTAACCTGTCCTTTGTGTAGGCTTCAATAACAGCTTGTCGGCCATCGATAGAGCGAATTGTATTGAGCCTTGTTTGCATTCCACACCAACTATTCATACGTTGTCGAACTTCACCACTTGAATAAGAGTCAAAATGTGGTACCATTTGAGGCAGTATAAGTGAAGTATGTCGGCCTAATCTTCAAAAAAATTTTTTTTTTAATCTTTTTTGTATAAATAATTCTGGGAGTTTTTTTAGTGACACCTGTCACTAAACTTGACAACTGAACCTACAGTGAGGTATTTTAATTTTGCAAAATTGTATGGTTACCGTAATATTGTATTTGTGAATTCAACGAACTTAAGTCTTATATTGTTATCGATGATAAAATTCAGTGATGTTCTGAAATATAGGCTACTACGAAAAGCTAAAAGAATACATAACTATTATTAATTTGGGCATTGGTTATGCAAGCTAAATAAATTGCTGGAAAAAAAAACAAGTTATCAGGAAAGTTATGTCTTTTTGACTCGAATTACAGTGAAAAAATATACCTAAAATTAATATCAGGATTAATAGTTTTTGGTGGATGGTGCCGATTAAAACTACCGGTTCGTCTAGTAAGAAATGATCGTTGTCCTAATTCCAATGATTTTTCACCTTCCTCCTCCTGAAAGAATTGGTAAGACTTTTAGTTGTGGACTTTTATTTAGCAGTACAGAAGGCATAACTTCTAACCTATAATCTTATACATCAGTAACGGAATAGAAACCATTAAATAGAAATAGAAATAGAAATAGAAATCATTAAAACTTTTTTTTGGACATAAATTTTAATCAGATATTCAAATACTTGAAGTTTTTGGCAAAAATTCCTTAATTCGATAAAACTTACATCATCTGGACTTGTTGCAACATTGTATCGCATTTGGTATACATTTTGAAAGGCTTGAAAATTGTCTGGTCCATGACTGTACGTGTAATATGCTGGAAGATTCTGAAATATAAAAACAATTAATTGTGGTGAAAATATTTCAACAGAAATCAATCTAACTTCCAAGAATTGTCTTATTTTTCAATAATTTACTGAAATTCAAATATTAAGAGGAAATACATGCACCTTTTGATTAAGATAAGTGGATGAGGAAGCTTTAGCTAGAAATAGTTCCAATTCTCGTTTTCTTTCTTCTTCTTCAACAGTTGCCTTTTTAATAGCTTCTTCTTCCTGGAATACATTACGAAGAACTGATTATTGAATAGAAATATCGACTGTTTTGAACTGAATTCGTTATCTTTCATTAGAAAAGATTTGAATGCATTATGTCTTATTACTTGAGGTACATATTAATGTGAAATTATTATTGAAATTTTTGATTGATTATTCAAATTCAAATTTTTTTTCTAAAATTATATTCCAATCTTTCTAACAACAATTTAATTTCACTCACCAATTGTCGTTTTTCTTCTTCTTTACTTTCTTGGAAACCTTCAACCAGGATGGCAACAAGCAAATTAAACAGCACATAATTACCAAATGTCATTAAAGCAACAAAATATAAAGCAGCCCAAGGTGTTGTGCGAGCCATACCATTAAATAAAACGACATTCCAGTCTTCTTGTGTTAAAATCTTGGAAATAAAATAGAAAGTAAATTTAAATCTTGAAAAGTGAAGTATAGTTTTGGTATAAAGTTTTGCAAATAGCTTCCGTAAACTGACATTCTTGAATATGTTTGTTATTAAACAGCAAAGTCATCATTCCTTTTTTAGTTTGAAAATTACATTCAATCCACTTCAAGAAAACTACATTTTTTTATTTTAAAAATTTCAGAACATATAGTGTCAAATTCTAAATATTGTTTTGCAAGTGTATAAATGCGATACATACCTGAAAAACAGTTACCAATGCCCATAAAAGGGAATCGAAATTTTTTCTTTCACATTTCTTTGTCTGATTCATTGCATTAACAGGATTTTTGCAAAATTTACATCCAAACAAATTCATTCCGAGTATACTGCAACAAAAATCTCTTTCAAAAAATGATAGATTTCGTGACATAAAATTGACCTCTGAAGGAAGCAAACAGTATTAGATATAACAATTTATGAAATTGAATCAATTTTTGTGTGTGCAGTAAGTTTTATATCCATTTGATTTCAATTTTATAATTTTGAAAGTATGTTCACATATTTCTCATGCATACCTGAAAATAAAGATGAAGAGAACGAGTAATCCAAAGAATACCGTCACATTATCCATTGTACGTAACATAACGAGCAATTGATACCGTAAAGCGGGCATAAATCGGACTAGTTTTAAAATTCGAAGTAAACGAAATGTTCGAAGTACTGATAACCCTCCCTTTCCTTCTTGAAATAATTCCAACACACTGTGGAAATCATCAAATATTAACTGATTTAAACGGATAAATAAATTTTAATGAAATATTTCGAATCTTGCAAAATTCTAATTTGCGAGAAAATATAAAAACTCAGTTTATTTAGAAAAAAAGTATATTTTAAGCTTTGAAAATTCTTACAACAAATGAAAGTAAGTTACCTTAGTGCGACTATTCCGCCATCAAAAAGATTGAAACCATCTGAAAGATATCCAAATAAACCATCTGCACCTATTTTGAGCAACATTTCCAGTGCGAATAAACCAGTGAAAAAGTAATTACTGATTTCCAAAATTGTTGTCAGCAGTTCGGGCTAAAAAATGAATTTAATACTAATTGCTTACAGACAAAAATCAGGCATATTTTATTATCAAATATTATTTGTAATTTATGAATTTTATTTGTAATTTACTACAATAATGAAAATAAACCTGCTGATGGTACTCGACACCCATGCTAAGAGTATTGATCAAAATAGCAAATAAAATACCGCGTTTGAAATGATTACAAACCACAAATGCTCGGAGCTTTTCACGGAATCGACCAAAGAGTGTAGACTTTGCTTTAGTCATATTCTCCTTAAACGTATTGACAGATAGTTGGCAATATGCAACAAATAATATGAACATATAAGTTCGAAAATTCAAAATTAAAATCAGAAAAGAAGTAAATGAAATTTAGAAATAATCGGAAATATAATTGCTATAATGATTGACATGAAACAAAAGTCTCCTTTCTTCTATTTAAAATTTAATTTACAAATTCCACTCATTCTTTTCTTTTTATTGTTAAAAAGAGTGAAATCGAATAACGAATACATGTTACCGGTTTAACGTGGGAATTATAACCATTGTCGTCGCTGCTACCAACACCGCCAGCACCGTCATACTCAAGCCTACTTGCGGTTTTGGACGGTTGATCGGAAAGCTCCACATCACTTTCCTCACCGCTCGACAAGTCTCCCACTCGAAGAGTTTTTTTCAAAGAGCCATTGGTTGAACCTATCTCTATATCGCTTTCCAGACTGTTTGTTGTGCAATCTGTCACTTAATGTTAAATAAGATATTAACTGTAATGCAAATTTGTAAGAAAACTTCTGTCCTATTTGTAAGAAAACTACTATTTTATCAAAACTAAGAGACTTTGTGAAATTTTTCACTCCATAAATGTTAAATTCTTGAAATAATTCGTTAAATAAATTTTGACCGAAAAACGAAAAGCCTACCATTCATACTTCCATTCCATTTCAGATTCTTAAAATTGCCGTGCAATTTACCTTCCTCACAATGCGTATATTCCAGCGACAATAATTTGTCATCTACAATGTTTTCTAAAATTTTTACTATTCATAAAGTGGACAAACTTTTACTCTTAATGCTAAAATTTAAATTCGTCAAATCGTCCACAGCTGTCAACGCTGTTTTCTTGTTAGTTATTACTATCTTCCCTCCTAAATGATTCGATTGTGCTTAATTTGCTGGTTGGCTCCAAAGTGAAGATATGAAAGAATAATTTGTCACAAACACGAGCTTAGGAAACTTTAAGTTCCTCATTCAACTTCAAACTCCTTATGCTACCTGTGTCAGCATTAGCCACTTGGACATCTTTCATCTTCGTTTCTTCAGAATTCGCAGCTTTCGGGTGAGTGTTACTTGAAAGGCCTTTGAAGAATTTTCGTCTATTCGCAAAACGTTCTTCCCAAATTTTCCATCGCTGAAATAAAAATTTCCATAATATTCCCACAGTATAACAAGAATAAAACTTATAAATGCGTTGTTTTTTCGGATCAACCAATGCAATTGGCTTATTTGTTGAATTGCTAATGTTTGGGTTATGATTTTATTTTAAATATCGATATATCTGTATCGATACCTTCAGAATTCTCTTTTGCAGCCGACGAGAATAACGTCTTATAGATTTGATTATAGCTGCATAGATACTGTCACCTGCTTCACCATCTTTCGATGAATGGGTTGGATCGCTACCTAAAACATTCGATACTATTTTCTTTAACATGAAAATTTGAAAGTGAAAAATGTGCAACACAAAAAAATATATCTTGTTTAAACCAACTAAGAGATCCCGAAGATCGTAGCCTTTTCCTTTCTTCAATCATTCGTTCTGTTTCGCGTCGTTTTGTTTCCGCAAATTGTGTCGCAATAACAACCAAACATAAATTGATCATGAAAAATGCTCCTACCTGAAGATTATCATTTTGCAGCAAAATTGAATCCAATTTAATCACATTTTAAATTATATTTTAACGATTCACCGAACTGATTTAAAAGGATCAAACATTAAGTGAATAAGCATTTTATTGTTTTATATACTGTTATTTGCGAATAAAAATTGTTATAAAATACAATATTAATATGCAAAAAACTTACAATAATCAATAAAACAAAATATATCCAGTTCCAAAATGAATGCGCATCTTGAACGTAGTACATTATATCTGTCCATCCTTCTAAGCTTATTACCTGTGTAAGGTTTTCCTTATTAGTTGAGCTAACGATGGTAAAACTTAGAATATATATTGCTATGAAATGTAAATATAAAAATAAATTAGGACGAAAAAAAGAAAAATTAGTACCAGAAAGATAGCAATCCATGCGAAGCCAATATTATCAAAGGATATCGATCCTTGGAATGGATTACGATGCATAACTTTACATTCGTTATAGTAAACATTCCAATTTATACATGCTGTTGTGTCATTTTTTATATTTGCCCATTCATGTACTGTCAAATTACATCTGAAAAAAATGAAATATTTGAGAAATCTGATTATCAAATTTGATTGCTAAATAGATTTAATGGATAAGCTGAATTATTAATTCCTCATCAATATTGAATTTGATATTCTTTAGTTTACAACAAATAGCAACGACTGGAAAGAATTAATCTTTAGTTTGCACAAATTTAGCAGTTTGATTATTTCACTTGTAAACTGACTTAGCTGACCTTACCGTTCAAAAAAACCACTGGAATTAATTTACTGTTAATTCAATTTTTGTTTCCGAATCCTTCATATCACATATATTGAATTCGAATAATTTAGAGAATATAAATGAAAATTCAAGTTTATATAACAGCTTGACATGGAATTTCCACCAACTTTTTCACATATTTGTGGCAAAATCGAATCTTGGATTAACTGAAGTTGACATGTGAAAGCTTACTTAACTCCGTTGTGTACGTAAGGAGGTAGATTATTGCATGTATGAAGACCTGATGAATCCGGTTGACTGCAAATATATTCTAGGGAAGTGTCTTCCGGTATATAATATCTGCAACGATTATTGAGAAGTTTATTGAGAAGCAAAATTGACTGACTATCGTAAGATATATCAGAAACGTCTAAGTAATTCATAAAGATCTCGATATTTGCTAAGATCACCAATTAACTGATTGATAACTTAATCAATGATTAGCTCGAATCATGTCTTATCGAACAAGTACTAGTTGTTGAAGTATTGAAAACTATCGTGAAACTTCTTTTACCGTGTAAGTGATATGTCTGAGACATCAATATCAGCATTTATTTTGGGCAAGCTAATAACACAACGATTTCTGAAATGTATCATCTTCTTTTTTTTGAAAAAAAAAAATTAAATTCAGTGATTTTAAAATCTCACAAATAAAATATCAAGGATTTATATTAGTGTTAGCTAAGTATTTGAAGCCAAATTTCAACTTTCATTTGATTTCTACTTTTATTCTAGAAATTTTGATTTACATGAAATTACAATATTATCCCCAAGCAAATATCTATTTATTTTTAATCAAAAGATATTTCAACGCTTGAGGAAACCCCAAAATGATACCTGAGCAGTCCGGCCCATAATTGGACACCAATAATACCAAATATGAAAAAGACAAAGAAACATAACAACAATACATTGCCGAGCATCGGTAATGTGTCCAATAATAGATTAACTGCAAAAATTTAATTAGATAAGAAATTCCAGTTTAGTAATAATTATTCTAATATTGATATCTTCGTCTTTCTCTCTTTCTTTTTTTCCTCCCTCTGGAAAATAAACGAAGAATGTTTGATTGGAAATTATCGCTACAAACCAAGAATTCTCATAGATGGTATCCTATTAACAGCACGTAATGGTCGAAGTACACGAATCGTTCGTATAGCGGTTAAATTTATATTACCCAAATATTCTTGCAATAGATATTCTGCACATCTGAAATTTTATTGAAATAAGAATATTTGAAAAATTAGCTTAATGGTAAATGAAGGTTGCAAACTTCTTGGAAAGCAAAATCAACATATTGGGATATTAAGTAATATTTCTCTGAATCTTCCAAAAAGTTGTAGAATTCGATCTGATTCAGATTTCATCAAAGTTGTATGTCCACCTTGTAAAAGTTGCATATCATCTGTCTGGACTAATATGAGCATACTTGACATATTTAATCCTTAATATCGATTTTTTGTTATCTCAATCAAAGTGAGTTATTTATCAAAAAAATCACAATTTCCTAAAAGACGTAAATATGATTGCACAACAAATAAGGAAAAAGATACAATCAAAAAACAATGATATATGATAAAAGATAAAGAAAAAAAAGGAGATGAAAAATTACCCTGCACAAACGATGAAAAAATCAAGGCGATTCCAAGTATCAGAAAGATAAGCGGCTGAGCCATAGAACCCGAGTGCAACTATTTTGATCATCTAAAAAAGATGAATTTCTTTTTCCTCCTTTCAGTAAGTTTTGAAAGTTATTACTATTACTATTCTATTACTATTAAAGTTATTACTATTACTATTACTATTACTATTCGAACTGAAATATATGGTATAGATTTGATAAATTTTCCTTTCTAATATTTCAAAACAAGCAAGTAAATAAAGTTTAAACAAACCATTTCTAAAGCAAAATATGCAAAAATGACATGATCAGTGGTTGAGAGTACGTAACAACGATATGTCGTACAGTTATCGTTATCCTCACACGGCCGATACATTCCAAGCGTTACACAATTGATTAAGATAACAAACATTGTAATTCGATCAAACCATGGATTCATAACCATCCGCAACGCCCACGAACGTGGTGGTACAGCTTGCCGTAAACAATGCAAGGCTGGTTCCGTAAATCTTAATATTGTTTATGTTTCAGGTCTTTACTTTATTTTGTGATATGTGAAAATTATACGGTAGTTTTGGATTCTTAGCTAATATGGATTGATTGGTTTTCATCGTATTTTATTTTTTCCTTGCCCAAAGAATACTAATAAAGCGAGGGATTTATAGAAATAAATGTAGTTTTCAATTTTTTCCGAAAAACAACCAAACATTTAACCGGATGAAAAAAAATTACCCTGGATAAGGCAAATCGCATTCTTCGTTGATAATATCTGCTTCACTATCCCAGCCAACTTGGGTTTGTTTCTGATAATCGTCTTCTTCCAGAATACTGTGACGCCATGGTCGTAATGGGCTTACTTCCATCGATAACGAGAAAGTTTTTTCCGTATACGGCAAAAAGCTTCTATATCCCCTAGATGAGTCAGGTCCCAATGCGGATAACACCTGGAATTAGTTAATCAAAAATATTCTTACATCTTTGTTACAACCGTACTAAATTAATTTGTGCTATAGACTTCTAAAAGAAATATATGGATGATTTATGATTTCATTCTTTACGTATTTAATATTTTTGCAGTTTACTAATCTCTCAAAAGTTTTTAGGAAATTATATGTCAGGGAATTTAGACAAGCATACCTGGGAATCACCCACATAAGTTTCAGTAGTTCTGCGCCGTGATTGCAAATAACGCCTAGAATTCGAATAACGTCTGTTAAACAATCCGCGGGGTCCAGAAAAACGGGAAAGTGATTGAAATGAGCGTAATTCCCTCGATACTGGTTGTTGAAGCATTGTGACTTGTGTTATGTCATTATTTAGGAATTATTTAAATTCATTTAATATTTCTCTTCAGCAACCCCCACCTGCAATATTTTTTTCAATTTCATTTATTATTTCATTATTTTCCTTTAAAATTTTCATGAATTATCACCAGTTTTCTGTGTTACCAATAAAGTCGTTCGTTAGGTCGCAATGTCGTGCAGTTACTAAGTGATATTGCGTAATGCACCGGAAGGTACACCGATTCCATTTTCAGAACTTATAAAGTATTACACTATTATACAGTATCACGGCGAGCTTTTTCGCATTTTACGACAACTCATCAACACAGAACTTTCCATTTCAATGACTTTTTGAAATTATGGACAAGTAATCAGAGAGTTTAATATAACAGGTGAAGCAGTTTCACAAATCTTATTACTGCTTGCTCATTACTTAAAAGTTGATGAAATGGAAATTTCTGCAAGTAAAGAAAAACAAAATCTTATTTTCAAAGCCAAAAAAGTAATCCATCAGTGAATTTTCATCGATAAACTTAAAAAATAGAGTTTACTTTTAGACGAAATATTATAAACTTTCGGAAAAATTATGCAAGTGCGCAGTATGGAATACAGTATGAAGTACAACATGTACTATTATACAGAATACAGAATTTTTACAACGAATTCAAACTTCCAAACAAACAAGCTATGAATGATTTGCTAATTATTAATTAGCTTATCTTACTGACGAGATAAGTAATAAAATATTTGAATAATAAAGAAATGGAACATAAATGAATGAAACGGAAATATTAATAAATATAATGAAAGCAAATTTAATCTACGATATATGGAAAATATCAAATAAAACATAATGTTTGGTCGACAATGTCCTATCCGGAAATCTTTTTCAATGAGTTGGAATTTTTAAAGAAAATAAGGAAAAAAGAAGGAATGTTATAACATAAACTAAATTTTCGCCTTTTAGTGATGTAATGTTCTTTTTCTTGGCTCATTTTATAAAAGTTTAGTAAAACAGTTGAAGAGCATTTTGGATAGATTTCTCTTTCAATCGTTTTTCTTGGCTCTTTATTTCACCTTTTTATTTTCATATACTTTAGAAATAGGATATGAAAATTGTTCTAAATTTCAATCAAAAATTATATTGATAAAATTATATTTTGAAACATTCTGAAATGCAATCGTATGACATCCTTCCGTTAAATATGTTATTGAATGAATAATTTGCAAAACTTATTTTGCTTTTCCGGCAATAAGTTGAAAATTTGATGGACTATTTTGCAAAAATAGTATGTCATCTAAATAGTATAGCATGCAATCAGTTAGGCAACAAACCAGCTTGATGATACTCATTGAAAATGTAAAAATTGAAAAATTAGTCAGTTACCGGAAATGCATAATCGATGAATGAGAATGAAAATGAAGAAGAGGCAAAGTTATCTGATTTTATCCATCTCCTAGCTTTTACCACCCATTGATCAGATGAATTTATTGAAATATACTGCATTAGTTGATCAAAAGTTTCTACTTTTCATTTATCATATATATATATATATATATATATATCAGTAATTTTTTGAAGGAGAAAAAAAAAAAGAGAACAAAATGATTGAAGTGAACTTATACTACGATCACCGATTATCACATAAAAATACAACAAATATTCGAAATGAATGAATTCGATGGCTAAGAAAAGAAAACATTATCTACCATTTACTTGATATTTTGAAGGATATATAACTTCTTTCAATTAAAAGAAAATAAGAAATGAAAGGAAAGTATCATTGATGTATTCATTTCCTTATTTGTAAGGATATTGCTGCTATGTTTGTATGATAAGATTGCTGGAAGAATTGGAAGGAAAGGTGAAATGGATGAAGGCGGAAAAGGATGAGTGATAACGATGCTTGATTGCAGTTAATCAAACTATGGAGGTGAAAGCCGCCGTAGTTTCCATTGATTTTCGACAATATAATATAGAAAATAAGAAAAAGGAGAGGAGAGATGTAGGGAAGATTTTGGATCAATGGCTTAAAGACAAAAGAATTTGAAACGGGAGGGAAAACATTTCGTAGCTTGCAATAACAGTGGTGGTAAGTAGTTGGTACACATGTGCGAGATTTTGATTTAATTTATTTACCAACTATCTCGCGTAGGCTCAATTCTCTTCCTGGATTTTACATCATGAATAATTTGAATGTCTTAATCCAAGGTATAGATTATATATATACATATATGGATAACTCTTACAACTCATTATATATATTTACTTATCTATTTATTTATATATTTATATAATATATCCATAAATAAGAAATTACTGTAAAAAAAAAATGAAGAAAGAATGGATGACAAAGATAGGTATAGTTAGGAAATTTTGAGATATTTGGTAAAGAGGGAAATATGATGGATTGAATGAAAAAGGAATAGGTATTGTTGGCAGGATTGGAACATATATAAACTTTTTTGTTTATTAAACATTACAAAAAAATGAAATTTAATTAAATTATATTTTTTTAAATATGATTTCTTATATTATCGCGAAGTTGCGCACTTTTTAATGTCAAATTTTGTATTAAATTTCCACGGAATGAAACGAATTTTATATAAAATTTGATAATTACTTCAAACTTCTCTGGAATCTTTCAGTTCCGTTATCATTTCCCTATAAGTAATTGTATTATTGATGACTGATATGTTTTATCGTTTGAAGAAAATTACAATCTTATCAGAAGATTTATTTCATCTTATGCAATACTGTGATAACGAATGAAATTTTTCAAATAATATTCAAACATAATTATGATTATCATTGTTGTAAAAATTGGTAATAAGACAAACTTTGAATAAACACTGCTTGGGAATCAACTTATTTGGATTAGTTCCTATGATTGATTTGATTAGCAAGATCAAATGATAAACAATCTAGCAATCTATCAAAACAAGAAAATTTTCATCTTGTTGAGTTATCCGATTGCTAGCATTAATGAGATGTAGGATATTTTACTGTTTTATGATGTAAAAGGGTAATTAGGAGAATAATGAAAATGGATGGAGCGCTAAGACTTAAATTATTACGATTATATTGCAATTTTAATTAAAATAAGGAAAGAATTCCATTCTAGCATATGGACATTTTAATATTTGATTCGCTCACTGAATTCAATATATCCTAATTTAATGTTACAATCAAATTTGAACAACTATATTTACATCATCTATTAATTTTAAAACTTCAAGAATCTCATATATCATACCGCTTTTTTGGAGACATTTTTTCATATATCATACCGCTTTTTGGAGACACTTTTTGGAGACATGATCGGGAAGATTTTTTGAGAATGAGAGATATAAATATATCTTGCCACTCTTCATAAAAGCTATTGCAATAAAGAAAAAAAACGATTATAGATAATAGCAGGAAGAAATGCAGACATGAATGATTAATGAATTTTTATTTTTTATTTGTTAAATGATATGAATGACAAGTAATCAATAATATAAATAAGTTTTAAAAAAATCCATCATTGAACACATTAATATCATGTGGCTTATAATTAATTAAATTTGTTACAAATTAATTAATTATAAGAAAATATTCCCTTCATTACATTAATTTTCCATTTATATTATTATATTATAATATTAGGAATGCAATAATTCATACGATCCATTTCTCTTATGGTTATAAAATTAAATTTCAAAAGTATTCATTTATATCACATTGTAGTACTTTACATTATTTCTTCGTATCATTTCACCACTAAGCGTAACTTCAAAGAAAAAAAAAAAAGATTTTTATTTAAGGATATTAATTAGTGACACGGTAATTAAAAAATATTTTAGAGGGAATGTTGTATAAGAAAATCAACTTAAATTTATATGTATATGTTTATTTTTTCCACTTTAGAAATTTTCATATACTCCCAGTGGAACAGTTTTTAATTTCAAGGAATAAACAATATACATATATATTGAAGTTTCTTGCGAATAACGAAGTAAAAACTGTGACATTTTCTTTTTTGCTTCAATAACAAATAACAATGATATTTGTTGTTCAAATTCATATCATATTTCTTATAATATGAGAGGGATAAATTTGTCAATAAAAATTTCCTCTATCAACGAATTTTCTCCATCCAATTTACTTCGTTTTCTTCCGAAACTTCTGGCATTTCTTAGTACAAAATAAGAGGAAAAATAAGTTAAGCTATGAATTAAATGAATAAAGTTAATAAGGGAGAGTTTCCGATTTCCGAGAATATAATCCGGAATACAATGAACTAGGATATCCAGAAAATTATATTTAGCAATTTAAATGATTAGTTAAATTGAAATATTCATGATGGGTATCTTTGGTGTAAAATTTTAATTTGCAAATGTTAAAAATTTAAGAAATACTTCCAGATCACAATGTAGTTTACAAATCAAATTATTTGATACGAGTTGTACGAGAAAATTGTCAGGCGCAAATGTAACAGAATCAAAGCGGAATCAAAAATACATCAAATCTTAATTGACTAACTAATAAAAATAAACATATATGAAAGGGCGCACGAGTAAATTAATAGCAAATAAATTGAAACATTTCGTTTTACTCATCCTCTTCTTGCTTATCTCAAAGTTAAAATTGCCATTTAAGCGGAAAATTTTTCAAAGATTAAAATAGTGACACAAACGCACAATTTATAATATAAAAGCAACAAGTTGAATTGCAAAAAGTTTCTTAACTTCTAAACTGGTAAACTCACTTCCAGTCATTCCTTTCCTCATTAAATTAATTTTCAACAAGTCTGCTTAACGAATGCAAAAGTTGCAGCTATTTTTATTAGTGTATATTATCATGTCACATATGTTGCTATGATTTAATTTCTAAATCATTTTTATTTTCAAAAATTATAAATATCACACTCGAAATATTACTGAATAATATTTGCTGTTCATCGAAATCGACGAAATCAAAAATGAACCAAAGCATAATTGATGAAAAAAACAAATGGGAAAAAAAAT